CACCTGCATACTCACTGCTACAATTGCTTCAAGAGTATCTTTCCAAACGGTTTCAAATTAGTTCACGTAGAGATTTTACGCACTGGACAACAGTTAAATGCAGGAGGGTCAAAAGTAAAGAGGCTCAACTGTCCAAAATTCAATTATTAGAAGGTTCAGACACTCAGAGCCCAAATGTGTAACCTCAAACATCAAGGTTGAAATATTGAAGGTTCAACTGTCTATGTAACCTTCAAAGAGTGTTCAGACTATAAGAAAGACCGGAAACACTCTAACTCCTTTAAAAACTAGCACTGTCCAGAAATTCCACTAAAATATGGTTCTATCTTGTCGAAAATAAGTCCGTTTTTTGCAGAATTGGCGTCTTGATGAGTAAATATAAAAAACCATTGAATGTTTGATTTTTTTTCTACGATAAATGACAAATACTATTTCAATTGGATGATATTATCCATCACAGTTTTTAGCTCTACAAAACTAGAGTATCCATAGGTGCAGTGATCGAATAGCTTCGCCAAATGTGCAATTGAATGTGCTCTTTCTGATGGCACCATGTTAGACTGCAAATCTCGAATCTATAAAATCGTTTTTGGCTCAAAACCCCATCCTTCAGATCCCGTTTGCCTCTGGCTTGGGTAATATTCTGTAGATCTCGAATAGAAAAATCCCCATTTGACTTTAGACAACTATTATATCTGTGAATAAAACATAGAACTAAGTCAACATGTGCGAGTCAGAGATGTTAACTCAATTGGATTGATACGGGTACCCACTGCTTTAGTGTCTCCATGGGTCAGCCATAACTCAAACCAGTTGCTTGAGTAGATCATTGATGGAATGTCACCTCTGATCTACTTATAAAAAGTTTCAGGTAGAATACATGAGTTAACGCCAAAGTCATCCTTATGCTACCCCGTTAAATACTCCAAATTTCATAAAAATTAGTTACGAAAAGGTTTTCTCAATGAGTGTGTGGTTAAAATAGAAAATTTTTGTCAAGTCAAATTTATTTTAAGTTCGCTGTAACGAATTCGGTACGATTTTCATGAACCTGTTAAAAAAAGATCTTCATGATACCAGGGAGTGCTTCGGATCTTTCATATTATCTGAGTACTTTCTAAAAATAAATGAGATATTTATAATCTGCACATTTCATGCTATTGAATTACAAAGACTTATGATTGAATAGCCAGAGAATTATGTTTTCGATACCTGGGAGAACCTCAAGTATCAAAACTTGAGTTGTGACCATGTGAAATACAGAATTATGAAGAATATTGAGAGTTCAATGCTGACTTTCAAAGTAATAAAATCAAGTTTAAACAATTTGGCGCCTCTCATCCGTAATTCCACGCAACTTTTGACATATTAAAGCGTGATTAATGTACGATAATAAACTAAGAAATGAATAACCATCAACTACATGCTTTTCTTAATCTTATTTTACTATATTTCGCTTGTTCGATGAAGTTAGAGATACTTCACTTTACTTTACTTTACTTTACTTTACTTTTCGGATAAAGTAAATCTACTTTACTTTACTCGATAAAGTAAATCTAGATCAACTTTACTTCACTCGGTAAAGTAAAGTAAGTTACTTTACTTTAATAAAGTGAAATAAAGATAAAGTGCCACTCCTAATTTCGATGAATACACAGTCTAAATAGTTCAAGTAGTCAATATCAAACATTCGAAAACTAATGTTTTGTCGTCCGATACGATTTTTTCTAGTTGTTTTGGATAATTCTTTACATTAGAACGGAACCAAAAATGAACAATGGGTGTGGGTTACCTTTTTGTCTTCATACATACCCACAACTACACCCATACCCTTATGTACGTATTGTCATCAAAATAAGTAGTCTCCACTCGATCATAAATTTCTTTCAAAAAAAAGAACTGTTTTATTTTTATATTTCAATATAATTTTTCTTCCCAGATAGCAAAAATTATTATCATACGTGTTGATCATTGATATAATGGCTACTACTCTTCCACCTAATAATCGAAGACAAGACCCTTTGGTAGAAAAAGTAACACCTAATAAAGAAGATATTCAATTAATTTGGTTCGATGAAAATATGAGTAATTCAGATGATTTTCTTCTTACTCAATCTATGTTAATCAAATTAAATACAGCTGCTTAATTTTATTCGAATTTTGATCGTTGTATCGATTTAATCAAATCTATTAAAGATCAGCAAATATTTCTTATTGTTTCTGATTCGGTTGCTCAATGTTTATTTTTACTAATTAATAATAGTAAAACTGTTGCTGCCATTTTTATTTTCTGTTCTAATCGTCAAAATTACGAATCACTATTAAAAGAATACAATAAAATAATTGATATGTTTACTGACCAAATTGATTTATTTAAGTCTATTCGAGAAAAAATAAACATCGTAGAAAAAAACAAACATTAGCATTTAGCTTGTTTGTTAAAAAACAAAAATCATTCAAAGATTTATCAAAAGAATCAGCATCTTTTCTATTACACCAAATGTTAATTTTTATTTTAAGACAAATAACACAAGATGAACAATCAAAAACAGATATGTTAAATATATGCCGTGATTATTATCAAAATAACAAATATGAATTAAATAAAATCGAATAATTTCAACAAAAATATACACATGAAAAAGCGATTGAATGGTATACTCATCAATATTTTCTTTATAAATGATTAAACAAAGCCCTTCGAACAGAAGATGTTGAGCTTGTTTATCGTTTTTCGATTTTCGATTTTCGATTTTTTATTATCGATTTATGTTAGTCTGTCGAACGTGAAAAACAGAGTATGGGAGATAAAACTATTTTAACTGTGTATCGAGGAACTCAAATTCCAAAAGAAGAATTACAAAAATTAAAAGAAAATATTGGTAAAATTCTTTCAACTAATGGATTTTAATCGAGTTCGAGAAATATCAATGTATTACTTCAATTGGCTCATTCAAGTTTTGTTCTAAATGACTTTGAATCAGTTTTATTTGAATTTAAAGCTAATCCATTACTGAAAACAGTCATTTTTTGTTTTATTGCTGATAAAAGGTGAAGAAGTTTTATTCAATGTTAATTCTCTCTTCAAAATTCATTCTATTAATTTTGATTCGACACTCGGTTTACGGAAAGTAGAATTCAATACAACTGAAGAATATCTTAAATTAGCTGAATCACAAATACAAGACTATATTCCAATCATTTATTTTGGCCGTCTTCTGATGTACGAATTGGGTCAAGTAGATCGAGCTGAGAATTATTTCAATATGTTACTCAAATCACTTCCATCTGATCATCCTCATATTGCATCAGTTTATAATTAAATTGGAAATGTACACGATAAACGGAATGAAATGAATTTGGTATTGAAAACTTATGAGATAGCTTATAAGATTCGTCAAAAGAATTTACCATCTGATGATCCTCTCATAGCTGTTTCACTCTATAATATTGGATGCATTTATAAAAGAAAAGAAGAGTTTGATCTTGCTCTCGATTATTTTCAATAAGCATTGAAAATTGAAGAAAAGGTCTATGTGGAGAATAATCTATATAAAACATTGATGATAGAAGATATTGGTAGTATATATAGTGAAAAAAAATGAATTTGACATTGCTCTTAAATATTTCTATCGAGCGCTTGACATGTACAAACGTGTTCTTTCTAAACAAAGTATACAAATTGCGAAATGTCTTGGCATGATTGGTTATGTTCATAAGAAAAAGAAAAATTTTCATGCTACTCTAGATTATTATTATCAACAATTAAACATGGAAGAACAATGTTTACCAATCGATCATCCAAATCTTACAGATCATCTCGGTTGGATCGTTGACACTTACAAAAAGATGAGTGAGTTGAACAAAGTCTTAGAGTTGGGTCGCGAAAAACTCAATATTCAGAAAAATAGATTAGGTGACAATCATCCAAGTATTGCTCAAACATTGATAATTATGGCTAGTATACTCGAAGACAATGACCTAGATTCAGCACTAAAATGTCATCAAGAAGCTTTGTCTGTTTTAGAAAATTCAACATAATCTAATCGTCATATAATTGGTAACTGTTTCACATCTATGGTTTCTTCGTACAAAAAATATGGCATGACAGAAGATGCAGTGCAATGTGAACTCAGAGTACTGAAAATTAATCGTCAAATATTGTCCTCTAATCATATTGATATAGCAAAGAATTTGAGGAATATCGGTTTATATGACAGACAAATGAATAATCCATTAGAAGCACTTCGTTATTTCAATGAAAGTCTTTCAATCTATAATGTTAACTAAGGATCAGAACATGAAAACATAAAAGATGGCAGAGAAAGATATTACTCAATTCAATGATGTACAGCAATCGTCATCAACTAATGAAATCGAGAAGGAAAATATGGAAAACAAGTCTTGTTTTGATCATCATGATCCTCCTTCTTCTGATTCAACACCATCATCTATCGATTTTGCTCCACGATCAAAATCTGATTACGTGAACATAAAAAAACTCATAAACATCTGTTAAAAGTAAAACATGTTTAATTCAATGAATATTAATCAAACGCTTTTTCTTCTATTTCTATTTTAATCAAAAGACATTTAAGGAAAGTTAGCAACTGATTCGAGTTTTTCTTCAGAACGACTCGCCCAAAAAAGTGTACTAAGTATGAACTGTTGTGGATTAGAGAAGTTCGACGAGTTCTATCCAATGCTATGCTGAGTTTATAAAACAAGATCAGCAAAAACCTCATATTTAAAAAAAAAAGTTATTTTTTACCATAGCAAACAATGTAGCAATAAAATAAAATATTTCATAAAAATATTCGATCCACGACCTGTGCCACCTTCGACATTTACACTACTCCATGTAGATCGATGCCCTCTATCTGATGACGATCTTAACATGGTGATCAATACAACTAATGAAACTTTTAGATTCTTGAAACCTTTTAAAATTAGCAATGCATGAGATATTTCATCTAACATGTCCGCTCTACGATTTGTGCCACATGTGAAACAAATTGCAGTCGACTCATTTTGATGAAGTCTATCGATTGTTGTACATTTGAACACTTTCCAGAAGAAGTTTCGGATTAAAAATTTTCTACAACCTCAGATACACGATACGGTAGAACATGTCTTCCTATCACTTACACTACAACATGTGTTATGAATAAAACTCACATCACTTGAAGGTCTCCTCTAGTTCTATCCATTGATATATAATTTACTGTAAACTGTAGTATTTGTCAAATGTTAGGATCCTTACAACCAATCAGGTAGGAATAATGTCTAATATTTCAAAGCCAATTCTACAACGTGCTTTAACGACAAAACATATCTTATTTGGCATATCTCGAGCAGATTTTTGAATAAGGGTGTGAGTGTGGATGCGAGTTCAATTAAAAGGTCAATGACACCCACACCCTAAAATTATTTTTCTGATTAAAAAGATTTTATTTATTTAAAATTGATAAAAAAAAATGAGTTAGTTCTCCGTTGATGCCAACTCATAACGGAAAAATATAATAATAAAAGTAAATAAAAGAGCGAGTATAGGATAATGATGGTATATGGGTCTTTCATTGTTTGTTTTGATCACGTTCTATAAAAGATAATTTTAATCTTTTGTATTTTAATGAATATGTTCGTTGAAAAAAAATCGATTATTTTTAATTGATATTGAATAAACAAGATTGATTGATAATAATCAAATAAAAAAAGTTTGTCAGAGCAACCCCTACCGGAGTTAAAATGAGCTACAATACAATGCGCCTATCAATCTTTTCAAGACAAATATTTTCTGCATTTTCGATTTCTTAGCGCTCTTATTTCTTTTTCAATGGTCACTATACTGCTGTCGATCATTTCCCGTTTTCAAGTCATTTTTCGTTACTCACCCTCTTTTGTTTTGATTTTATGCTCACGTATATACCTCTACCGTCGAGTCTGACCTTTTCTCTGAAAGACGCTGTCTTTCATTGATACTTGTTATTCATACCACAGCACATTGAAAAGGTATTGATAATCCATCTAGCCGTCTGTTACATCAATTAGTGAATAAGTAACTTCAATTATTACATTTCTTCTCTTGAGATACCAGGAGAAGAGGGATGAATGTAAGAGAAGAAACAAAAGTTCGCCTACTTAAAACTCAATCACATATTTTCATATGTGAGTTTCGCAAAAAATGGTGGTGATCGATTCATTGTTTGTCTTTTATCTCTAAAGAAATAATTTATTAATGTTGATCCCATAAACAAAGAAGTGTTATTTTTATTTTGTGGACTTAATATTCATATTAGAAATTTTTTTTAAGTAAATCTAAATAATAATGAAAAGATGACATTAAATAAATAAATATTCCCTATTGAAATACAAAAAAAAATCAGTTGTTATTTACTTTCATTCGATTAATGAAAGAGAAGATTTAAAGAAAGAATTTCGTCAAATTAATGATTAGATTCTATTCCATA